GACACTTAATAGCTGTGTGACCCTGGCCAAGTCACTTAACCTTGTTTACCTCAGTTTGCTCATCTGTCGAATGAGCTGGAGAAGCAAATGACTAACCACTCCAGTATCTTTGCTAAGAAAACCCTAAGTGGAGTCACAAAGAGTCAGACAGGACTGGAAAATGACTGAACAACAAGATTAAGGGCGGGATTAGTCGTAATCACAACAAATTAAAATATGTACCAAAAAAAAAAAGACAATAAAATTTTATTGTCAATTGGTCTTCCTGCCTTAATTTCCTCCCCTGTCCAGTCCACGCAACTGCCATAGTGATCTTACCAAAGCTTGAGCCTGACCCTATCCCTCCCCTACTCATTCAACTCCAGTGGCTCCCTATCTCACTCTTTATGAATTTCTATTCTTGTGTAAGTTTTATAAGATATATAATTATTAGTATAACCTATGAGTATATAGTTTGTAAATGAGCAAAATAAACTCAAAGCATTTACTCAATAGTGGTGGATGAACAAAATTTGGAGACCAGTCACATCTCCTCAGAAATAAAAGACTGCATTACAAAGAAAGTATGCAGAGGCAACCAACCCTTTTCCTGTCACTCTAGCTCATTATCACTGGGGACATAGCAAACTTAGTCCAGTCTGAGATCCCAAGGCTATTTTTAATTACTCTCCCCTGACCTCCTCTCCTCCCACCTTGGGTCATACTCTTTGCTGGGTAGATGGGCCCTCCCTCTGTCTGGCTACACTCAGATTTAGGATGCATGGGTAATATCCGGCTGGAATTACTGCGGTTATTGCAAAGAGGGCTCTAAAGCTATGGAGAAGGCAGCTGGGAGGGAGGGGAGGATCGTGCCTCACACCAGTTACTCTTGGGCGTTTGATTGCCCATGTGATCATGTGAACACACTCAAATCCACTCGCACATATCTCTGGTGCACATACCACTGGACAGTTAGCCTATCTTTTCCCCTACCCTGAGCCAAACGTTACCCCAGAAGAGACGGCTCCTTCCGCTCTTCGTGCCAACAATAGAACTTGTACTAAACAAAGACTTCCCTATTCAATTTTTAAAAGCCTTTTTCTGTCTCTCTGTTTCTGGGACTGGAGATATAGGTAGGACTTGGTTTCTTTATAGGAAGTAAGGACGGGTTGATATGAAGACCCGACCAAACCCAGTGGCACCTTATATTGTTTTTCCTATTCCCATGGTGCATAAAGCCCTCCTAGGCTGAACATTTGGGTAGCAAGGAATATACTACTTGGAATGAACTGCCTGAACATCCTGCCAGGTGACAGTGATAATAAAGGATGATAATAATAATAACTGCTAAAATTTATACAAAATATGCAACCTGAAGTAGTGGATTAAGTAATGGATTTGGCATCAAGAAAACTTGGGTTCAGATCATCCCTAGGACTCTAGCTATCAGTGGGCTGCTAGGTGGCACAGTGGCTAGAGTGCCAGGCCTGGAGTCAGGAAGACCCATTTCCCTGAGTTCAGATCTGGTTTCAGATACTTACTAGCTATATGACCTTGGGCAAGTCATTTTACCCTGTTTGCCTCTGTTTCCCCATCTGTAAAATCAGCTGGAGAAGGAAATAGCAAACTACTCCATTATCTTTGCCAAGAAAACCCCAAATGGAGTCATGAAGAGTCAGACACAACTGAACAACAATATTTGGCCATCAGCAAGTCAGTTAATTTCCCTCAGCCTCAGTTTCCTTATCAGAACCTACCTTAAAGGGTGAAACAAAGTAATATGTGTAAATGGCTTTGCAAGCTTTAACGTGCTATGTAAAGGTCAGTTACTATGTAATATTCTATAGCAACAAGACTGTAAAATAGCAAAGGTATCATTATAACCATTTTGCAGAGAAGGAAACAGTGATTTCCCCAAGATCACATAATAAGTGACAGAACTGGGGTTCATGCTCACACCTCCAGATTCAAAGTCATCTTGGGCTCTTTACTTGGTACTCTACTGCCTCTCTGTAATTGTAGCTTGCTTAGACTTAGCCTTATCCTCTGAACCCGTCCTCAGAGAGGAGAAACATTGTATTCCCCTTCCACCGAATAATTTTAAGACACTCATCTTGCTAACCCTCAAATTTTTCTCCAGTTAACTTTTCTCCCATTTTCCCACCCACACACTTCTCACAGTTACCGAATCTAGAAGGTGACAATGCTTTGGAGATATTGCTCTCCTGGTGAATGTTTTGACCTTCCAGACAAGTTCTCACTAGGTGGGACAAGATCCAAACTTAGGGTGCCCCTCAGGGGCTGGATCCTCTCCTTCTGGGGCTGCTGCCCTGTAATCTCCTTCCCCTTATCCCACCAACCTAAGTTGGATGGATGGGAAAGTGTAGCCAGTGCTCACTTCCCTCTGGTTCCACTGCCAGCATCCTCTTTCCTTCCCCCCTGACTGTCCCAAGCTGCTAACAGGTGGTAAAAACCACCTGTGTCACCAGACTTACCCTCTTGGGGTATCCAGGCTGGGGAGGTCTCTGTTTGTCACAGCTTTCCCTAACCCCTGTTGGAAATCAGAGGAGAAAATCCAGCGGGAATATCCTTAACAATGACCTCTGACCTCTGGGATAATTGACTCTGCAGCTGGTAATACAATAAGGAATTAGTACCCTCTCTGTTGCTGCTTCAGCTTGGCTCAAGGCCTTGGGGACAGATGGCTTCCATATAACCCACTGTTCCTGTTGCTGGCCTTGACCTTGTTGTCTTCTTTGATTTGGAAGCAAAGCAAATTGATTTGGGTGGAGTAGGGGGATGAGGGGCTTAAATAGAAACCTCTCTGTGGCCCATAGTTAATGGGACTGGGCTAATGGAAGAGCCAGAGCCTTCCTGTCCTTGTTGACCTCAAGGTTAATGTCAGGAGGTGAGCCCTCCTCCCTGCCCAGAGAGAGCTGAATGCCATCTAGGGGGTTAAGGTGACCTTATTTACTGACATAGTTTGTCTCTTCCTACGCTGATTTTCTTCCACACTGGAGGAGGAAATGAAAACCAGAACTCATGTGACAAGCTTAAACTGTGTAGGATGTATGTATGGCATTACCCCCCACCTCTAACCTTAAGGACTCTGGTCTTGGGGATGGGGAAAAGTCTTCAGGGACCTGTATTACTGGCTCCAAAGGTTTCATCTAGGCCTCCTGTTGTCCCATCCCCCTCCTCTCTTTTTGCCTCCTGGAGGCCCTGGGGAAGAGTGTGGGAGCAGGGGCAGGGAGCTGTGGGCTTGCTCCTGAAATAGCCAGAGACAGCCTTGTCTTTCCTGTGGAGAATGCCAGGAAAGCAGCTGGGCGCATCTGGCTGGAACCTGTGCCTGTCCTGTCTGTCTTTCTGGGCCTCTCTGGCACATTCCACTGATCAGCCCTGAAACTCTGAGTCATTCCGGGAAGGAGGGAAGAAGCTGATCTCTCTCCTAGCCCTGCCTGTCTCAGGTGGTGTGCTGGCAGGGAGCTGGGCAGAGCTGTCCTTATCTGGCCATGAAAGGCAGCAAGAAAAGAAGAAATAACAGCTTCTAGTGTGGGAATGACCCTCTAATTGACCCACTGTCAGTGGGATGGGCACTGTGAATTGTTTATTCTACTGGTGGGAATGAGTTACTCCAAATGAGCTAGCTTTCTGTCACCCTGTCCTTCCCTTGTAACAAATGGCATGTGTTCTGGCTAGAATTAAGTGCCCAATCTGTTGGGAAAACTGAGTTTTTCCTTTGTGTGGTGCTTACTCAGCCTAGGAGGAACTGAACCTGTGACGTTGGCTTCATTAACATAGTGCTCTAGCTAACTGAATTAATCATTTCTGGAGTAGAGAAACAGGAAGCATTCTCTATTAATGCATGGAGAAGTCAAGCTTTTAGCTGTTAAGGATCTGCAGGCTGAAGTAAAAGACAACTGTTGTCACTGGCCATCCACAAGGTCTTACCTGACTGACCTAGGTTCTGTGGGATAAGGGGAAGGAGGTGGCAGCAGAGCAGCGACCCTGGAAGGAGAGGCTATCTCTATAAGGAAAATTAGGGTCTGGCCACCTGTGAATTATCCCATGTTAGCTCTTGTTTCACCTAGGAAGGGAGAGTGACTATGTGATTGTCTCAACGTATGACTGTGACAAAGTGTTCATAACATATTCCCTGTTTTCTGGATAGTTGGTCCCTGGAGAAACCAGTTTGGCCTGTTCGCCTAAACCCTGCCCATCACTCCCTGCTGCTACTGAATCCTTCTTGGGGGTGGAGCTATCAGGAATAGCCCCCTAGAGCCCCACCTGAGATGGTAGGATGGAATGGCACGGGTACCCCAGAGAACTATCCTTCTGATTTTGGGGGAGTGGTGAAGAGGAGGGGTTGAGCTGGTCTAGTCTTGGAGAAGTAGTTCTTTGCTGCCTCTTTTGCACATACATACCTATGATGTCATGCACCCCTCCTATCTCAAACTCCTTTCACTGGAGTGGACAGTTCAGTGATGGTGAGTGGAGTGCATGTACACCCTGGTGTCCACCCACCCAGCTTCAGGTACCTTGTAACTCCACCTTCCCCTTGAGACTGTGCGTCACTTCTCTGCCGCTCCCTCTGTGTGCTCACTCCTCTCTCTACCTGTTCAGACAACACTGGGACACTGAACAGATAGCTCTGTGCCCCTTCAGGGTAAGCTTCCTGGATCTTCAGCTTGATTCCTACAGCTGAGCCTGGTGGGAAGGGTGGGTGAAGGAGGTGGGGGACAGCCATGTCTGTGGGCTAGGGCAGCCTGTCGAGGTTGTTGGGAAGGTCCAATAAAAAGCTCCTTTTAGCTTCCAGCAATAGGAGGAAGTGCTGGCATTGGATTAGGAAGGGAGGTGGGAGAGAAGAATTAACAGGCTAGAAGAGACTGGTAGTTGCAGCTGAAATGGGGAAAGGGTTTAAAAGAAAGTTGATGGTGATGGGAGCTAGAAAGAAGCCTAGGGAGTGGCGTGAGGGACCTTTCCTGGATCTGTCTGACCCTTTTGTCCCTTCCATGTATCAGCAGCAACTGCCATGGAGGTGATCAACCTGGTTGAGCAGCCCATCAAGGTGACAGAGTGGCAGCAGACATACACCTACGACTCGGGCATCCACTCTGGGGCCAACACCTGTGTGCCATCAGTCAGCGGCAAAGGTATTGTCGAGGAGGATGAGGCCTGTGGCCGCCAATATGCACTCAAGAAAACCACCAACTATTCCCAGGGGGCTCCCCAGAGCCAAAGTTAGTGCAGTCACATGACTCCCTGGGTTGGCACCAGAGAAGGAGCCAATCTGATGGGAGAGAAAAGCCCCATGCCCATACAAAATTCCCAGGGACAAACTGGGTGCAATGCCAAGGGGCCATAGAGTGGTAAGAATGGGGTGGTGGGAAGACTTGGTGGAAGAGATGAGGGGAGATTGTTTTGCTTTGACTGGGCAAAGAGGAGTCCTAGGTGTGTGCAGGCTCATATTTCTGGGTATATGCCAGGGTCATTACTGGTCCATTGATTATTTAGCAGCCAACCATCTGTAAGCTCCTTGGCTTTTCTGGAGGGCTCAGACCAGGTCTTAGTTAAATTTGTATCTCTCAGGGTGGAGCCAAGATGGTGGAGTAAAAGCAGTGACTAACTTGAGCTCTCCTCCACACCCCTCTAAATCTGTATCTCTCTCATCACCCAACACAGTGCTCTACCCATAGAAGGCTTTTAAGAAATGATTGTTGTAGTTGTTTTCTCTGGATTGTGGATTATCTGTGTCTTTTGATTGTTAAAAACTAGTAACAACTTTCAGTGTTCATGGATGGGTAAGGCTGCATGCATTTGTCTGAGCTGGTAATAGTAAAGGTGAGGTCTGCGAAAGGGCTCTGAGGGCACTAAAGACCTTAGCAATCAGGGCATCTATCTGTGGGCAGCCAGCCCTTATGTTTGGCATTGTCAGGTATTGCTTTGATAGCTGAAAGCCTGGAATCACTGCAGGCAGGCAGGGAGGGAGCAGAGACTGTCTCCTCCTTCCTGTCTAATTAGAGGGTGGGGCTGTTCCAACTCCCTCTGCCAAGGGGCATTTGGGCGATTGCCAGGGTGGGGCTGCTCTGGGAAGCCTCTGGATCTACCACTCCCAGACTGGGGGAGGTGCTTGTTGAGGGTTTGGGGGAGGTGGGGAGACCCATGCAGCTAAGTCCTATTCTGTACCTGGGGAAACTGCCTTAGACAGGAGACAGAAGGGCATACTCTTCTCAGTTTCCAGAATGAGGAGAAAGTGCCAACTCCATTGCCAAGATAAGGCAGTGGAGTTCCAGTGTCCCGTCTGTCTATCTGATGAATGGATCTGTGGGCTGAAAGGCAAGACTCTTGATTCCCAGCCCTAGCTCTTTCCCTGACAGGATGGTGTTGGTCATCACTGACCTCTTGGTTTCTCTGTCAGGTCTACCCATCATACAGTTGGGTATATGATGGAATGTTACCTTTCCCATGTCTAATCCTGTCTTATCTCTTGAATCTGTTCCCTCCTTCACACTTCACTGCCACCACCCTGGTATAGACCATTATTACCTCTCACCTGACTGATTGCAATAGCTTCCTAACTGGTCTTCCCACCTCTAATATTTCCTACGCCCTGTTGTCAGATTAATCTAATTTATGCATAGTAGTTCTGATTATGTTACACTCTGCTCAAAACTTTCTTGGGCCCTTATTACTTACAGGATAGTCTTAAATCCTCAGCCTGACATTCAGGGCCTTCCACAATCTGGCTTTGGCCTTCTCTCATTTACTCCTCTTCAGGTTTTCTATGCTCTAGCCAAGCTGTACTGCTCACTAACATGTCCCACAGTTTCCCACTGATGTTTCTTGCTCATAGGATTCCCTCTGCTTGGAATACTCATATTTTTGCTTTTTTTTTTCAGAGGCAGTGGGGTTAAATGACTTGCCCAGGGTCACACAGCTAATAAATGTCTGAGGCTGGATTTGAACTTGGGTCCTCCTAACTCCAGGGCCAGTGCTCTATCAACTGCTTCACCTAGCTGCCTCTACATTTTCACTTTTTAAAATCCTACTCATGCTTCAAGGCCCTGCGCAAATGCTAACCTCTTTATGAATCCTTGTCAGAAATGATCTTTTTCTCCTCTGAACCTTTGCCCATTTCCCTCTTAAAGTATTTATCAAGTTCCATTTTGAATTGAACTTATCTTATTTCCCTTACTAGGTTGTCAGCATTTTGAGGGCAGGGACCCTTGTTTTATGTCTCATTACCACAGTGCCTTACACATAATGTACTTAATAAATCTTTGTGGAGTTTCATGAGGAAATTATAATCTTATATTTCTATAGTGCCTGTGTGGTAGGTAGATTAGTTTCTATTATATAGGGAAAGGAAGCTAAGGCCTGATAAAGTTAAGTGACTTAACTAATCTTTGGCAAGTTACTCTCAGAGCTGGCACTAGAATTCATATCTCCTGACAAACCAGCCTTCTGCTCTTTCCATTAGAACACATTGCCACAGCAAGCCAGGCAGGATGTCAAGGAAGGGGGCTGAGGAAGTCCTAGGGAAATCTGGAGTTGGGGCCAGGGTGGTGGTTAGGGCCATTCCACACACGGCACCGTTCTGCACATACATGACACCATACCTTTCAAACCTGCCTTTCCTTTGCTTCCAGGTGATCTAGAATGCCAGATGACAATGACGAGGGCCCAGCGGGTGAGGGCAGCCATGTACCCTGAGACAACCGAGGACCATTCTCTCCTATTGACCACCCAGATTGAAGGACAGGCCACCAATGTGCAACGATTAGCCGAGCCCTCGCAGCTGTTAAAATCAGCCATCGTCCACCTCATCAACTACCAGGATGATGCTGAGCTGGCCACACGAGCCCTGCCTGAACTCACCAAGCTGCTCAATGATGAGGACCCGGTCAGTGCCGCAGGGCTGGGGGGAAATGGGAAAACCTGATTATAAGGAATTTACTGATAGTGCTGAGGGATAGGGAGGAATCCTAAGAAATCAGCATCAAGGCCACTGGTTGTAGGATTATTATGGGAGGGTCTAGTCTCCCTGCTTCCAGGGTAGGGCAGCCCCTTGGTGGTCTTTCAGCACCAATGCTAAACTTCTCTGATCTTCCACTTTCACCCCACTATTCTGCAGGTGGTGGTGAGTAAGGCAGCCATGATCGTGAATCAACTATCAAAGAAGGAGGCGTCCCGGCGGGCGCTGATGGGCTCACCCCAGCTGGTGGCCGCTGTTGTGCGCACCATGCAGAACACCAGTGATCTGGATACTGCCCGCTGTACCACCAGTATCCTGCATAATCTGTCTCATCACCGTGAGGGGCTGCTTGCCATCTTCAAGTCAGGGGGCATCCCTGCTTTGGTCCGCATGCTCAGGTATCAGTCGGGCAGCAAGTATTTATCAAGTACCTAGATATAGAGAAGCACAAGGCAGGATAGGATCCCTGTCCCTGAGAAACTTATGGTCAAGTTGAAATGAGTTTTAGCACATTTGAAGTGATAAAGGAACAATAAATGATAGTAAAGGGGGTACAGTACAGAATGTTAAGTATAGTGCAAAAATGAGAGAGTACTGTGAGGAGTTGGAGTAGTCTGGGAAGGCTTCATGGAGGAGATGGGCCCTGACAATGGGGCGCCAGGAATCCTGTGCCTCCTGGCCCAGTGCTGTAGCTTAAGCTAATCCATACCCTAGCTTCTCATTTCTATGTTACTCCTAGCTGCCATCTTTCCTTTCCCAACTGGGAGCTCTTTGAACCTCATTTTCTGATAACATGGGGTACGAGGCTCTGGGTGCATTGAAGGGGGTGTATCTTTCATACCTTCCCCAACCCCCATGGCTCTATCTTCCCCTCACAGTTCTCCAGTGGAATCAGTCCTGTTCTATGCTATCACAACATTGCATAACCTGCTGCTGTATCAGGAGGGTGCCAAGATGGCCGTCCGCCTGGCTGATGGGCTACAGAAAATGGTGCCCCTCCTCAACAAGAACAACCCCAAATTCCTGGCCATTACCACTGACTGCCTGCAGCTACTTGCATATGGCAACCAGGAGAGCAAGGTGAGGTTATCATCCGGGTGCCTTGAGTCTCTCCCCTCTCCAGCTGCCAAAGGGATTTTCCTACTGCATTCATCTTGCTCACATCAGCCCCCTACTCAACAAATTCCAATGGCTCCCTTCTACCCCACCAGGATCAAACATGAGATCTTCTACTTGGCCTTTAAGGGCTTTACAGCTTGTCTTCTTTCTATTTTCCCACCATCTTCTCATGCTTTACTCTCCACGTTCCTTACAACCCTAGCTTCTTTGGCCTCCTTGCTGTTCCTTCAGCACTACACTCCATCTTCCAGCATGGTGCCTTTTCACTGGCTCCCCCCATGCTTGGAGTGCTCTCCCTTCTCATCACTGTCTCCTTCTTTTCCTGGCTTTCTTCGAGATCCCATCTTCTGCAGGAAGCCTTTCTTGCTCTGGTTCCCACCCTTCGCTGTTCCTCTGAGATCTGAGATCACTTTCCATCTATTCTGTATATCTTTGTATGTAAAGAAACGTGAAATGCACAAATTGAGAGACGTCTCCACTCCCAATGTCCATATGGACTGTTTGTGGCCAACCTGTGGTACAGCCTTCCAAGCTCATATTGGTCTGATCAGCCACAATCAGACACACTGTAACTTGACCCCAACATAATCATGTCACGTTGATCCTCTTCGAGGATGAAGCACAACAACCAACCATATCTTTGTATGTACATAGTTGCTTTTGTCTCCCCAACTAAATTATGAGCTTCTTGAGAACAGATTGTGTTTTTTTTTTCTTTCTCTATATCCCCAGCACTTAGCACAATACCTGGCACATAATAAGCACTATTTGTTAAGAAGCCTCTTCTGCAGGCTGATCTCTCTACCCTGCTAAAGCCTCTGCCTTCTCTAGTTTTTATTTGAAACCACATAGATCCATGGTCCATGTTAACATCCTCCCACCAACACTGCCTGTGCTCAGCCTCCCCCTCTCACTTTGCTGCCTCTACAGCTCATCATCCTGGCCAATGGGGGCCCCCAGGCCCTGGTGCAGATTATGCGTAATTATAGTTACGAGAAGCTGCTCTGGACCACAAGCCGCGTGCTCAAGGTGCTGTCTGTGTGCCCCAGCAACAAGCCTGCCATCGTGGAGGCTGGTGAGGCACCCATTTAGTGGAGACCTTTGGATGAGACTTGGGGGATGAGCCAGTGGGTAGGTGGGGCTCTGCATGCATCACTGGCTATGTCCATCCCTCATAATGCTATTTCTTCTCCATATCTAGGTGGTATGCAGGCCCTCGGAAAACACTTGACAAGCAACAGCCCTCGCCTTGTGCAAAACTGTCTGTGGACCCTGCGCAACCTCTCAGATGTAGCCACTAAGCAGGTAAGGGCCTGGGGACTCATCCCTCCTTAGCCGCTCATATCCTCTTGGTCCTCTCCTCCAGTGGCCTCCTTAACCCCACCCCCTCACCATCCACTCCCCAGCTTTCTGCCCAGAGACCTAATACCCCTTCCTTTGTGTGGTGTGACTGAAGCAGCCAGGACTGCCAGAGATTCTGAAATCCTCTCCTACTTGGAAGCTAATGCCTGAAATCCGTCTTCAGAGCTTCTCCACTTTGATTTAAAGCTTTAATCCTTGGAAGGGATCATTTACATATTAATGTGGAGGAAGGACTCAAGATTAGGTTTTGTGAGGAAAAATGGATGGAATGGAGACTTTGAAGGTACTCGGGATTTGAAAGGAAAGAGGATAGTGGGAAATGAGGAAGCGATGGGACAGTTTACTTCAAAATATTGCATAGTATTAGCCCAATTTTCCACATCTCTCCCCATAATGCCAATGTCTTACCTAGCCTGCTGTCCTTAAGGGCTGCTTGCCCTACCCTACTCTGTTCAGGTGACAAGGACAGAGTTGGAATGGCAGACCAGTGGAGAGAAGCATGCCAGACACTGGCTCAGTCTGGAGGATTAGTTAGGACTTCAAATTCTGTGTTGTTGTTGGGGGTAGGGGGAAGGGAGAGGTGGTGGGACTTGATAGGTCAGCTCAGCTGAAGCATGGTATAAGGTCAAGAACACTGGAAAGTTGGAAGGAGGAAGGATTTCAGAAGGAGTACCTTGTTCAATCAATTGATAAGCATTTACTGTGGGATAGACACTGCACTAAACACTGGACATACACAGAAAAGGCAGAAATAGTCCTTGTTCTCAAGGAGCTTGCATTCTCTTCTCTTCCCCAGGAGGGCCTGGATAGTGTGTTGAAGGTCTTGGTCAGCCAACTGAGTGTGGACGATGTGAATGTGCTGACCTGTGCCACGGGCACACTTTCCAACCTGACCTGCAACAACAGCAAGAACAAGACACTAGTGACGCAGAACAGCGGCGTGGAGGCACTGATCCATGCCATCCTGCGTGCAGGCGACAAAGACGACATCACCGAGCCTGCTATCTGTGCACTGCGGCATCTCACCAGCCGCCACCCGGAGGCCGAGATGGCCCAGAATTCTGTGCGCCTCAACTATGGCATCCCGGCCATTGTCAAGCTGCTCAACCAGCCCAACCAATGGCCTCTGGTTAAGGTATTGCCTTCTAGACGGGCTGAGGGAGGGAGCTGGCAGAGCAGCCCAATTAGCAGAATCTTCTGGGTGCAATATGGTCACAACTGAAGCCAGTTAGACTAGAGCAAGTCTAACTTTTCAATGGCCAGGGTTAAGAGAGAGGATGACAAAGAATAACCCCTTTCCTGAGGACTTCTTCATGCAGCAAATATTTATTGAGCACCTACTAGATGCAAGGCACTGTATTAAGACCTATGGGAATATCAAGTTGAAGAAGGTAGAACTTTCAGCCTAGGACTATCCAGTTTCACATCATGAACTGCCTAATGGATATCGCAACTGGATGTCCCATAAGCATCTCAAACTCAGTAAGTTCTAAGCAGAACTCATTATCTTTCTCCCGAAACATCCCTCCTTTCATAACTTCTCTGTTTCCAATGGAGGCACCACCATCTTTTTGGTGCCCAACTTTCCAACCCCAGAGTCACCTTCCATTCTCCCTTCTCCCAAACTGTCCCCATCCAATAAGTTGCCAAGTCTTGTCCATTCTTCCTCCATAACGTGTCGTGAATCCTTCCCCTTTGGTCCACTCACATGGGCACCACTCTAGTTCAGGCCCTCATCACTTTTTGCCTGGACAATTGTCGTTTCCTAAGTTTCCTAAGTGGCCCCAACACCTCCCCCCTCTAGTCCATCACTCACATGGTTCCTGAAGTAATAGTCTTAAAGTGTAGACCTGACCCCATTACTTCTATGATCAAGAAGCTCTCGTGGCACCTTTTGCCTCTAGGATAAAAATGCAATCTTCTTTATTTGGTTTTTAATACCCTTCCCAATATGACTCCGTCTTGCCTTCTGGGGTTCTTGCTCATCAACTCTCCTTCATGCATTCTGCCTTTCAGTCAAACTGGCCACTAAGATCCTTGAGGGCAGGGGCTGTTTCATTTTTCCTTGCATCTCCTTGTGCCTAGCACAGTGCCCTGCATGGAGTAGGCTTTCAATAAATATTTATTGAATTGAATAGCAGAGGGGATAAGACAAATACATAAATATAACCACAATATGTTATGGTGAGGTGTAGAAGAGAAGTCCAAAGTGCTGTGAGGTACACACCTTAGCCTGAGAAGGATGTCTTTAGTTGATATGGGGCGACAGAAGCCAGAATGAGAGAAGGTCTAAAGGGCCATGATGCTGGGGGGTGAGGGTGGGCGGGGTGGGAGAAGTGATGGTGGCAGGACCTTTCAGAGCAGCTCAATTGACAGCATGGTATAAGATCAAAGCACTGATCCATGCATATGTACATCCTTTCCTTTTACCCATATGGCCACTTCCCTAGTTCAGGCCCTCATCACCTGTCACCTGGATTTATGGAATAGCTTCCCAGAATCCAGTCTTCTCCAATCCATTCTCCACACGGCTGCCAAAATGATATTCCTAAAGCAGTAGGTTGATTGTATCAGTCCCTTGCTTTCAAAGCTCTGGGGGCCCCCTCGTGCCTCTGGGGATCAAATGTAAAACTTCTGTTTGGCATTTAAAGCCTTTCACAGTCTGGTTCCTGTTTCTCCTTCCTGGCTATATTATTCTGCACCCCCTATTCTGTTCTTGCCAAACTGGAATGCTCTCCCTCCTCATTTCTACCTCAAGGAGCCCCTCATTCCCTTTGAGGCTCAAATCAAGTGCCACCTCTTACAAGAAGCCTTACTTGATTTCCTAAATCAACATTCTCTCCAACCCCGCCTTACACGTTCTGGTCTTCATTTTGTATATACTTTGTATTTACTGATCTTTGTACCAGCTATTGCCCATCAATAGAGTGTAAGCTCCTTGAGGGCAAGGGGTGTTTCATTTTTGTGCTTGTATCCCTAGTGACTAGCACATAGTAAGTGTAGCATACATTCTTTTTTTTTTAACATTTTATTTTCACCCCAATTACGTGTAAATATATTTTTTAACATTTGTGGTTTTTTTTTTAAATTTTGAGTTCCAAATTCTATCCTTCCCTCCCTCCCCTTCCCCCTTCCCTGAGACAGTTAGCAATCTGATAAAGGTTATATAGCTACATACATTCCTGTTGAATTGGATTGAATTACAAACATGCCCAGGCCTCCTCCATTCTTAAAAACCCATCAGTTGACACTTCCATCCCTTTGAACCCTCATCCTATATATCCTCTCCCTCCCACAGCCAGACTCTTAGAAAAGGTTGTCTGTACTGCTCACCTCCATTGCCTCACCTCTAACTCACTTCTCAATCCCTTACAACCCCATGGGCCTTCAACCCCAAGACTTGGCTGAAACTTCTCTCTCCAAATTTACCCATGATCTCTTAACTGCTAAATACACTGCAGTGTTCTCAGTCTATACTTTATTTGACCTCTCTGCAATTTTTGACACTATCGACCATCCCCTCCACTGCCCTGTGACCTCCCCAAGACATGTTCTCCTTCACTGGCCTCTGTAAAGCACCTGTCCTGGTCCTCTTCCTGCTCTGACCAGCCCTGTTCAGTGTCCTTTGCTCTCTCTTTATCTAATTCTTGCCTGTGAATGAGGAAATCCTTCGAGGGACTGCCTGGGCCCCCTTCTTCACTTTCTGCACGCTTGCCCCTGTTGATCTTATCTGCTCCTATGGGTTCATTTATCTGATGACTCATATGTCTATACATCCAGCCCTAGTCTCTCCTGAATTCCAGTTCTGCTTTTCTTCTTCCTGCCAGATGTGTCCACTCGGGTGTCTGTAGGCATAGGGATCTTGGATTCAACATGTCCAAAACCAAACTCTTTTATATTTTTCCCACCCCATATTTTTGTTGAAACCACCATCATTTTTCCAGTCATCCAGGTTCACATCCTTGAGGTCATCCTTGACTCTCACTCTTCTTTATCTCCCTCATCCTCCCCCTACCCGCATCATATCATCAATAAGCTGCCAAGTCCTGTCAGTCCTGCCCCCAGCATCTCTTGTAGTCATTGGTTCTCCTCTCTGTCCATACGGCCTCTACCTTATTTCAGGCATTTATCACATCTCATCTGGGCTATTGCAATAGCCTCCTAATCGGTCTCTGCCCCCACACATCTGCTAAACTGATAACCCTAAAGCACAGGTCTGACCCTGTACCTCTTATTCAAAAATCTTAGAATCAAGTACAAACTCTTCAGCCCAGATTCCCACCTACCTTTCCAGTGTGATTTCGTATCCCTCCCCTTCCTACAACCCTCTATTCTTTTCAACCTGGTTGGTTCACTGTTCTTCATAGCCACATTTGGGCCTCCATGTAATAATATAATTCCTTCTCACCTCCCTCTCTTAGAATTGTTATCACTCAAAGCACAGCTGGGGTGCTACTTCCTACATAAGGCCTTTTCCCACCAGTTTTTTAGCATTCTCTCCCTCTCAAAATTACTTTGTATGTGCTTGTCTTTACTTATTTGGAAACATGTTGTATCCTATAGAAAAATTCAAATGCCTTAAAGGCAGAAACTTTTATTTTTGTTTATTTTTTTTTATTCCAGCACCATGCAAGGGCACGTAGTATGTATTTAATGTTTGTTGAATTGAATTGACTGTGATTGATCAGGAAGAGGAGGAGAGAAAGAAATCTAGTGATGAGGCTATCTGATTCACTGCAAATCTTTTATCATGTTCCTGTGTTAAAGTTAAGGGATTTGATGCCATGGTGCTGGGAAGCTGATCAATTCTCTGGGTGTTCAGAAAGTGCTTGTATTCACTGTCCTTTCCCCTTTCCCCTCTTTTATCAGGCAACTATTGGATTAATCAGGAACCTGGCCTTGTGTCCTGCCAACCATGCTCCCCTGCAAGAGGCGGCGGTCATTCCCCGCCTTGTCCAGTTGCTGGTCAAGGCCCACCAGGATGCCCAGCGCCACGTGGCTGCAGGCACACAGCAGCCCTACACGGTATGTATACTTGGATTGATACCCCCCCTTACCCCACTTTCTTCCCTTCCCCAAGCTCTGCTACTCATCAAGGAGAGGCCTGTAAAGGGCCAGACAAGAGAGATGTGATTTGGTGCCACTCCATCCTCAGGGAGGGGTGCCTGCTCCTTGCTTCGGCTCTGGACTGTGAGTCTGCGAATGTAGTGCCTGCTCTCTGCTGGAACTCCTCCTAATGCCAGTATTTGTTTGCAGGATGGTGTAAAGATGGAGGAAATTGTAGAAGGCTGTACTGGTGCCCTGCACATCCTTGCCCGGGATCCCATGAACCGCATGGAAATCTTCCGGCTGAACACCATCCCTCTGTTTGTACAGGTGAGTTCAGGATGGGGTGGGGCAGCAGGATAGGGCCAGACAAGCTGTCTTTTTCTATTCTTTACCCAACTGAAGAGAAAGTCTTATGTTGTGCTGATGGGAAATACGGAGGATAGGAGAAGTCTGGTTTCCTTAGTTTCTGATCTCAGAAGCTCCCTGTCGAGGCACCTTTCTCAACTACCTGCTTCATTTCTAGAGCCACAGGCTTCTCTGCATTCAAGCAGAGATGTCTCTGCCTCGGCATTCTTACTGCTTAAGAAATGCCCCATCCCAGTGTGGCTTTCGCTGTGAAAAGAGGGAGGAAGGAAGGTGATAATGTTGAGGAGCCCTTTGGAAAGCAGGAAGGCAGAGGGGTAGTGGGGGGTGGGGGTGGGGCCAGCAGCCCTTTGCCCATGTCACATTCTGACCTCTGTCCTGTCCTGGTCCTCCCCAGCTCCTGTACTCATCAGTGGAGAACATTCAGCGGGTGGCAGCTGGAGTACTGTGTGAGCTGGCCCAGGACAAAGAGGCCGCCGACTCCATCGATGCCGAGGGGGCCTCAGCCCCGCTCATGGAGCTCTTGCATTGCCGCAATGAGGGCACTGGTGAGGAGGGGGCTGAGGGAGGGGGGAGGAGGGCTCGGAACCCCGCAGATCTCCCGTTGCCACGATGGCAAGGAGGCGGGCTTTGTCCTAACTCGGCCCTCTCCCCCTCTCTTCTAACTCCCTGCGCTCCCGCTTCCCTACCACCAGCAACCTATGCTGCTGCTGTTCTATTCCGTATCTCTGAGGACAAGAACCCGGATTATCGCAAACGTGTTTCTGTGGAGCTCACCAATTCACTCTTCAAACATGACCCGGCTGCCTGGGAGGCTGTGAGTATCCCCTTCCCTCTTCTCCAGTTTCATCAAGCCATCCAGTTCCCTTGCATTTTCTCCCTCCCTCGTCTTTGTGATGGGGGCCACCAGAGCATAAGTGGGGTGACTGTTTAACCCTGGGGTGTGAACTTGGCAAATGAATTTGTGGTGGGAAGAGGGCCATGAACTTGTTGCTGTATTTCCTCACCTTCCTCCGGTTCAGTATTTCTAGAGGCAGCTGTTTCTGCCATTTGTCTTCTCCTTCCCTCTACCAATCCCATACCTTAAGTTTCCTTCTTTCTTTCTCTAGGCCCAGAGCATGATCCCCATTAATGAACCTTACCAAGAGGGTGAGTATATGGCAGAGAACAGTGCAAGAATGTTTCCATGTATGTGTGTCCTGTACGTCTGTGTCCTATCTCCAAAGCCAGCTGATAAGTAACTATAAAAATCCCTGGGGCCCCTGATATCTCAAGTAGTAGCTGTGGGGCACTGAAGAATGTAGGTGGGGGATATGGAGAGGAAGGGGATGGAAGAGAATGGTAGCAACTTCCTGGGCCCATCCCCTTTTCCGGTGACTTTGGAGGTTCCTCAACCGAGCCCTTTTCTCCTCAGACCTGGATGCCACATACCGTTCCATGTACCCGAATGATGGACCCCTGGACCCTATGGAGATGCACATGGATATGGATGGGGACTACCCCATCGACACCTACAGTGATGGTCTCCGGCCTCCCTACCCTACTGCTGACCATATGCTAGCCTAGCCCAGCCCCTCACTCGTGGTATGGCCTTCACCCCCAAGACTTCTTAGTTTGGCTTTACATGCGGGCCTAGCCCAGTTCACTTCTCTCCCTTCTGGGGTTCCCTTCATCTCTTCCCTGGAGGTTGTTCCTTTTTCTTATTGCAGTAGCAACATGGGGTTGGTGGGAGAGTCTCTTCTGTGTAGAGATCTCCCAAGAAAGCAATGCTCTGAGGTCCCCTTATTCCTGTGATTTAAAAAAAACAACATCAACACACTTTTAAAGAATACATAGAGCACCTACTACATGTACATCACTATTCTGATCACTGTGGGAGAGACAAAGAACATTCTGTTTCCCACTTGGAATGTCCTTCCTAAGAGCTAATGTTTCTTATCTCCACTTTGATGGAGCAGGCAGAAAGAGAAGCAATTCTCCCAGGGTAGAACACCTGCCCAGGACTTTGGGAGGGAGAAGATGGGGGAGAGGAGAAGAGGGTGGTGTAGGGCTAGTATGGTGAGTCTCGTGGAGAAGAAATAGTCTGGTCAGTAACTGTTTCACCTTTTCTTTTTCCCCCCAGGGTATCATTCTTGATCCCTAAGTGACTAACTCCAGGTGAGGGACTGAGACAGAAAGTGCCTGAGCAGAGGACCAAGCTGGGTGGCTGGGACTTCACTTGCCCACGCCCATAACAAGTTCTCCTCTTTAGGGTTTTTATTAATTTTGAATTTTCTTTCTTTGTGTGTGTGTGTGTGTGTGTGTGTGTGTGTGTGTGTGTGTGAGTGTGAGTGCTGTGGGGTGTAGGGCCTGACACCCCCTGACCCTCTCCCCTAGCCCTGTGCCACGGGGGCTTTATCTTCCTCCCCTGGCTCCTGAAGCTTTAATATATATATGCCACTTCTCCATTACTCTGCCTCAATGACCTACCCCTGGTTCAATCACTCAGGCACCTTTGCCCCTTTCCAAACTCTCAGTGCAGGTAGTCTGGAGCCTGGGGAAGCTTTGGTTTGTGCTGATTTCTGATTTTGCTTTTTCCAGTCCCCTCCTGATCCCCAGCCCAGAGTTTAGGACTCAAACTTCAGAAACTCAAAGTTTCTCTATTCCAAAGGACTGAAAAATAAAGGGACAGACCACATGAAATGAGCCCAGAGAGAGAAAGAGAGTCGTCTCACTCTGGGAGACTTTCTGCTTCTCTCTCCAGGATGCTGAATTGGCTTTTTAGCTGATAAGGAGAGCTCAGTGCACAGCCCCTTCTCTCCTCCCACTTCCCTATGTAACCACTCTGACCCTGGAGAAGCAACTCATACTCTTGACTGACCCTCTCTGGTGTGTGGTGTCGGTTTCTTCCCTCTTCTTGTTTCATTCTCCCCCACTGCCTTGCTTGGGAGTGGTAGGGGAAGCTGAGGGGAACAATAACTGAGAGTTTGATTATAATCTCTGTAAGTTTTTGGTTATTGGTTGGTTTTTTTGTATAGACCAAAGCAAAGAATAAAAATAAAAAACGCACCAAGGGTCTGAAAAGCAGCTGCTTTGGAGAGCCGGAGTTGTGGGTAGGGGTAGGGAGGGAAACAAGGGAGGGTCAGGGTTCCATAACTCCCTCATTACCTCCAAAACCATCTTACATGGGGATTTAGGGATGAGAGATCACAACCACAGATGAAAAAAAAATCCCAGAAAGTTTATTTTGTCCTTCAATTAATGGATTCCTTGTATTGAATGATCTTGGGTAGAATACTCAGGCCTCACAGAAGATGCTCCAGAGGATGGAGGAAAAATTGTCCTCTGAAGGTTCTTTCCCTATAGTAAGGTGAGCTCTTAGTTTAATGGAGGAGACAGGACACACATAGTGATGTAAGAATATTTACATAGCAATATATGGACAAGGAATGGAGTAGAGAAAAAGAGATAACCAGTAGGTAAATTTAATAAGAGCCTATTGTGTTGAGATCAGACACAATCCCTGCTATCATGCATATTCTAGTAATTTTGGGGATACCTCCTCCACTGAAATGGACCTGAAACTCTTGGTAACTGGTCTTTGAGAACTGTGGCTAAGAAACCCACCACCTTGCTACTAAATTGTCTCTTCAAACTTAGCTAGGCTGGTCCTCAGATGAGAAGACACATAGTTATCACCGAGGCTGTTTCTGGAGCCTTTCCTGCCAGAGCACATGCCCATTTTATTGATGTAGCTTTCAAGAATTCAGTATCTCCTGAATACCATAATGAGGATTGGAGTAGGGCCTCAGTGCCTGCTAATAACAACACAGTATTATATAAGGGTATTAGTCTTAAATGTTGGCTCTGAAGGGGAAGATGGTTTTTAACTTTGCAGGGTGATCAGATCAGAAGACTTCATGGAAGAGGTGACATTTGAATTGTGATTTAAAAGATAAATAATGAGTAAAATTCAATAGTCAAAGAGGGGACAGTGGGCCCAGTAGTCCCTGGGAGCAGTGTGAGCCAAGCCATGCCATCTGATTGCAGGCCAAGGTCAGAAAGGAGAGGGATGTGCAGTTTGGATGACACAGTGTATGATGGGGAGCAATATGAGATAAGCCTGGAAAGGTAGGGGTGGTGCCACATTGTGGAGGTGGAGGTGGAAAAGGACTGCGGAAGATTCTGAGACAGAGGAGTTACAAGACCAGATCTGTGCATAGTAGAAAGATGACTCTGATGGTGGAGTGACAGATGGATTGGAGGTAGAAGAAATAACAGGAAAACTTGTTAAGGGGAGGGTATTGCAGTGGTGTAGGTAGGTGGCAAAGGCCTGTATTAGGGTGACAGCAGTGGAATTAAAGCAGAGGGAATAGTCTTCTGTGATAAAGGTGGAGCCAACAGGATTTGGTAACTGCTTGTGAGGGAAAGGAAAGAGTCAAAACCATTAAAGGTGTGAATATGGCGGACAGAGATGGTGAGGTCCAGAGGAACAAGTTTAAAGGGGAAACATAAGGACTTTTAGGTGACAGTGGAACATTTAGTTAGAGATGCCCTTCGGGCAGTTGGAGATGTGGACCTGGAATTTCAAAGAGAAGTCAGGACTGCACGTATGGAAGATTGCACAGAAGTGTTAACTGAAGCCATAGGAGCAAATAAAATTTTTGAAAAACTCATTTTTTTTTTGAGAAAAGTTTTCTTTAGTTTGTACTTTTTAATTAATTTTTAATTTTCAATGTTCACTTTTATAAGATTTTGAGTTCTAAATTTTCCCCCCTCTTTGCCCTCCCCTTTCCCCAAGAAAGCATGCAATCTGATATAGGCTATACATGTACAATTATATTAAACATATTTCCACGTTAATCATGTTGTGAAAGAAGAATCAGAACAAAAAGGAAAAACCATGAGAGAGAAAAAAAGAGAAAATAGTATGGAAAACAGATTTTTTTTTTGAAAACTAAGGAGTCTTGAAGTTTATTGTTCAGTTGTTTTCAGTCATGTCCCCATTTGGAGTTTTCTTGGCAAAGATACTGGCATGGTTTGCCATTTCCTTTTCCAGCTCATTTGACCGATGAGGAAACTGAGGCAAACAGGGTTAAGTGAGTTGCCCCAGGATCACTCAGCTAGTAAGTGTCTGAGGTCAGATTTGAACTCTGGTCTTTCTGACTCCAGACCCAGCCAGCCCTTACCCGCTGCACCAACAATTCCCCTGGGAATGTTTGTAGGTAGATGGGAAAGAGGCAGTGAGTGATAAGTCAGAGATTGAAGAGAGGTGAAAGAAAAAGGATGACTATTGCCTTGGGCTTCTGGAGGAAGGCAGGAAGGAACGGGGATGGATACCTTTAGTGACGTGACCATAGTGAGGCAAAAGTGGATGATGGAGGTAAAGAGTTCTGAAGTTGGATAGTCTCTATATTTTCAATGGAAGTGGGTTAGGTTATCTTGGGAGCCAGGATGTAATTGGGGGCAAGAGAAAGTTTGGAATGGTCTTTTGGGGAAATAAGATAAAAAGTAAATAAATGTAGATTGGAGGATTGTTGAGTAGCTGCAAGAAGAGCCTGACTGAGATTTTGTATCATGAATTTGTAGTGAGTAGAATTGTTGATCTTGTAAATTGCTCAGAATCCCAGGAGTGAAGGAATCAGGTAGTGAGGGTTACACAGGGCTGAGGATTCACTGGGAACAGGAGAATGTTAACGGGACAAGACATTCTTGGGTAATAGCTGGTAAGAAGTTAAGGTGTCACACCATCTGTAAAATGAAGGCATCGGAATATCGGAATCCGAGGTCCTTTCTGGTTCTAAATTCTATGATCTTATGTAGGGAAGCCAGGTACATAGACAAAGGAAGTGAGGGAAAATGAATGGGGAGAATAGAATAGGGGCTGGTGAGGAGAGCAAAGAGTAGATTTGAATGTGAAGGACAATTGGAAAGATAGACAGTTGTGGTTGGAAAGAGGAATTTCAAAATTCTGGATCTTGGAGGTGATGCAATGAAGACCCAGTTTCTATCCTCAAGAAACTTAGAATTTGGTAGATAGGACAATATGGGGGACACAGATACCATAGTATGTTAATGATTGAGTCTCTTAAAAGAAGTACAAAGTAATTTAGGAGTCCTGTCTGGGATAATCAGGCAAAACTTCATGGAGATGAAATTTAAACTTGGCCTTAAAGAATAAATAGAATTCCAACAGGCAAAGACGGAGAGTGGGAAGGAGATTCTAGATGGTGGAAACCTGAGCAAAGGTAAGAATTCAGCAAAGTACAAAGTGTGTTTGGTAAACTGAAGTAATTCAGGTTGGGA